TGAGCCGAGATCGCGCCATTGCACTCCAGCCTGGGCAACAAGAGCGAAACTCCGTCTCAAAAAAAAAAAAAAAAAAAAGAATCTATTGAGTCAGTAGATTTTTATTGGCTTTCCTGGGAACACAGGCTATACAGTCTCTCAGGTTACTCTCTAGAATGAAAGAATAGCACACAGACATATAAATATGACCCAATGTAATTTGTGATATAATAGTCAAGCAGAGCAAGTAAGGCATAGACCCAGATATTCCTTTGCTTACCAGATAACTCTATTTACATGGCCTATAGGTTTTACGAACAACGTGTCCCCCTGGTTGGGCACAGTGGCTCAGACCTGTAATTCCAACAGTTTGGGAGACTGAGGCAGGAAGATTGCTTGAGGCCAGAGGTTCAGGATTAGCCTGAGCAACATAAAAAATTTCTTTTGTTTAATTATCCAGGCATGGTGGTGCTTGCCTATAGTCCTAGCTACTCAAGAGGCAAAAGTGGGAGGATCACCTGAGCCTAGGAATCTAAGGTTACAGTGAGCTATGATCATGCCACTGCATTCCAGCCTGGGTGACAGAGCAAGACCCTGGTCTCTTAAAAATAAATAACATCAATTTGGGAGGGTGTATGTATGTGTACCACCAAGTACCAAGTACACACACACACACACCCCCCTCCCAAATTGAATGTATAATATCTTCTTTCTTTCTATAAGACCCTCTCTTCCACTGTCTCCTGAATTAGTGAATGGTACAGGTGTTCTGAACGTGAAAGGTACACCGGGTCCAGCTAATTTTGCTAAAAACACAGGAGTCATCTCTGAGTGCTCTACTTTATTCCCCACCTCTAGCCCCATCCTGTGAATTCTACTTCTTTCTGTTCCCTTGTCACCATCCTAGACCAAGCTACCATTTTCTGTCTCCAGACCACTCCGACAGCCTCACAACTATGTTTATTCCCTTCCATTCTTGCTCTACTCTGAAGCCAGAGTGAAACTTTAAAGTGTGAAAGTGATCATACCAATAAAGTCCCCATTCGTTAACCTGATTACAAGGCCCTCACTCCAGCCTTACCTTGCACCATTCTCCCTTCAGTCTTTTTGTTTGTTTGTTTGTTTTTAAAAAGATGGGGTTTCGGCCGGGCGCGGTGGCTCAAGCCTGTAATCCCAGCACTTTGGGAGGCCGAGGCGGGTGGATCACGAGGTCAAGAGATCGAGACCATCCTGGTCAACATGGTGAAACCCCGTCTCTACT